CCAAGTCATCGTAAAGGCCCAATGCATTTTAACACATTCACGCCGATGGCCGCCCATATGGGCTGCCAACAACATGCGCTCCTGGGACGATGGCAGCCCATATGGGCTGCCAACTGATAATCGCTTGCCAGGCGCTAGGAATGGACAGATAGGTGGGCAAACCTCGTAATCGAGTGTAAAATGCTTTTAAATTCCTTCACGGGGAAAGTGAATAAATGCTCTCTTTTCGTAACCACTATTTGTCGTTCTGATCGAAATCCTACTGTTATATGTTTAGATAATCTTTACGCATTGGACATTGCAGAAATTATTTTGTGACATTCATGTTTTTTTCATTTACAAAACAAAATCTGCGGTTATGTGGTGAGGCGGCGGCGCCCACAAAATCGCGTCCGGAAAAAACGTGGAGCGGGAAAGTGGAAAAGGGGCGCCGCCGTGAATGTTTTAAGTGCCACAATAATGTTCGAATGGAATTAGAATATGTCTCGCATCCCAAAAAGGGATTGATCAATGGCAGATTCTGTATCCTTTTCATAATAGCTCGAGATCGCACTGCATCTTTATCTTTTTCTATATCCTACGCAGGGACTGTTTATAAACAATACCAGCTGAATTTGATACAATATGATCTCAGATAGAAATGCTTCAATATGCTACAGGAAATGAGATACCAATTTCACATGATGTAATAGTCAATTGTTTTATTTTATAGTGCATATTTATTCATCTGTCTATTCATTTATAGTACGAGTGTAAGTGAGCTACAAAATGAAGCCATGCAAAACCGTGCCTCTCAAATAAATAAAACAGCAAAATGGAATAGAAAATACATAAGGCAACGTCATACATAGAAGGCTTCCCACGCTCAAAACGATGAAAATGGGATTCAAGTAAGATGGCAAGTGTAACCATCAAATATCTTTCTGAACGCATAGAATAGCAAAGTTGCTCACTTGAAGTGATCTTTGAAGCCAAACAACGGATTAAGCGGAGATTATGAGCATATTTAAGCTGACATCAGCATCCTATTGCATATTCAAATCACACGAAAAGGGTGCCCGCAGAAGTTAATAGTAACCATTCTAACTGTCCTCGAACACCGCTTATTGTCCTATGCATCATGGCCGACGACGTTCACCAGGTACTATTGACCGTTTGCAAAAACAAGATGCTTAAAATTCCGAGCTTCTGATAAGACCTTCTGATAATAGCTGCTCAACAATGTGCTAACTTTGTTTTTTCCCACAGTAAATGATATTCTTGTAAGTGGATGCACATTAGTTGTTTGCCCTTCGTAGCCTAACCTTTCATAATGAAGTGAAAGTGATCGTGTCCATAGGCTATTTCTTTCAATATACGCCACGCATCAGTCTTCCGCCCAAAATCATGAAGGCATACTGTGAACATGTAGTCCTTGTTTCGAATTAGACGCATTGATCAGTCGGTATTTTTAATTCTTTTTATTTGTTCTGCCGTTTTTATTGCTCTTCGGTCCTGCATCCCTTATACTGAAGTATAGTAGCTGAGCACTAGTGGGTTACACCGAATTGATGCTCATATGAAACTGTGTTTTAACGTGGGTTCTGGCACACTTCGACTATTGCATATGGCAGGCTTGATGACTATGTGTTCTCTACCCTGAGCAATCCTGAAATCCTACTTTGTAGATCGCGTATCGAAGTAATTTTCAATCACGGTACCGTAACCCGATGACCGAATTCCAGGTTGAATTCACCCACCGAAGGTCTGCCTTTAGTGTCGGAAAACACGTAGTAATTACTTGAGAAGGATAAGACGCTACGTTTCACACCGACTGGTCCGCGTAATTCTTTGTATTGAACATACCCGCAATCCTCATGTCTCCATGGATTTCTCACGATGGTGTCAATGTGTGATCTATGTCGCTCATAAAAACGATCGCACCAGACGGACGCTTGCGCCGCAATTTTTTTATGTCTGTCCATTCTGATTCCATCCAAGGTGAGTACCGGGCAAGCTCTCAATTTTCCAATTCGAATTCCTTTCGATTTCTTTTCCTTTTCTGATGACCATGAATAGATAGAATCCAATTGAAAGAGGTAGTGTCCAAATAAGAGTTGTGGGAGACGAAAAATGCGTTGTTTCTCGCCAGCTTATCCCACTAAGTGTCTGAGCTCATCAAAGATGTCTAGAGCTCTGTGTTTGTGTTAATGAAGGAAAAGCATTTGCCGTTGATCAATCCCTTTTTGGGATGCGGCACGCATTCTACTTCCATTTGTACATTCGTAGTGGCGTTTGAATGCGATGTGGCCTATACAATGACTTGCGGGGGCCAGCCGATGTACAAGTCAGTGTTTTTATCCTCCCAGACAAGTCTGGTACCAATTAACCGACCCCGGAGGGATGGAAGGCTTGGTTGGCCCGGGCGACTCACGACCCAGGATTTGATCCCCGGACCGCGCGTGGTAAGCGTGCGCCACTTGCCACTACACCACTTCCGCCCTTGTGTGTTGTACATATTATGGTCATTAATTGTAATGGGTCATATCTACATATATCTGCAACCATATCCTATGGAAATCATTTGAGGGAGATCCTGAAAATGTTACGTCAAAAGAAGTGCAACGATGTGAAACTCCTTGGGCATCTATCTATCTCGCTGGTGCTTGCTCATTTGTACAAGCAGTACAATTCGGTATCTTCACCAGTTCCATGTGGCCTTATTTACGAAAGGTAGGTTAAACTGTTTTCTCCTAGATGACCATGGCCACTTGACACTAATAATCCCAGAGTACAAAAATTTGTTAAAATTAAATCCATGAGGATTGACCATTTCAAAATGCGAAGATCTTGGTGCCATTTGTAAACAAGTTGACGCAACAACTTTCTCAACGAAATTCTCCATGATATGACATGTAGTGACGGTCAAGGGCTATGTTTGCGCTAAATTTCATCGAAGCCCAGAATAGTGACGTAATGGTGACCAAGATCATATCGTATTATCAGCCTCTCATGGGTGAAGTCTCTACGGAGATTGTTTTCCTGCCCCCCCCCCCCCCATTACAATTTTACTTCGCTGGTTGTGACATTTTGCTTTAGCTCAATCCAGAGGCTATAGAAACTGAATTTGGCTATATTTTGGGATTGTACAGTTTTGCTCAATGTATATCTGCACCGCTATTTGGATATTGGAGCAATCGAATAGAGCAGTGTGTCTCTTCCCTGACTCAAATGAGGTATTAAAAACTCAAGGTGTGAGGTATTCCAGGTTCGCCTACCTCTCCTAGCGGGTTTCGCTTTTATGTTGGCTGGAAACTCTCTCTATGTCTTCTTAGAATCTGTTCCTCCATCGAAAGTGGTTTACGCAATGATGGCGGCGCGAGCTGTTGCAGGATGTGGGACAGGTAAAGACACCGAGCTCGTTAGAACATATTCATAGCTAATCTTTTCTTCATCACACGCGTCTTTCGCTTATAACCGCAGTCTTTAGATTTTATTATGTTGATATTACCCTATTTTTTTTACCTGCATGATACTTTTGATCCTTCAGCACGGCTACCTCTGTGCAATATTTCTTGATACCAAATTTTGTTTAAGATATGAAACTCCCCAATTTAACCCCTACAGGAAGAGCTAAAAAACTCCTTTGAGCACTTACTATCCTTGCGCTTTACTGCATTATTTTGTAGACCGTGAGTCTTAAAATCTATCAAGCTGATATCCATCTACCGCTGAGTACAACTCACTCTAACAATTGTTTTTTAAATTATAATAGTTTTCTTTCTAGATGCCGCCGGCTCGCTAAGCTCCTAAGTGCGAAGTATTTATAGTCATGCGTTTCTCTCATGTAGCATTTGTTGTCGACCACGGTTTATTGTTAGGGTATGTGTACTAGAACTGATGTCCAGTTGAATACGTGCAATAATCATGACGATAATGTCAGTCGAGATGTTAGAAGTTGTCGTGTACATGTTACACATTCCATCGTTCACTTTCACTCTAAGTGTTCAAGACTCTGGTTACGCCTGCAGCACTTCTCGTAGCTTTTGACTGGAGCTCCTTCGCTGCACCAACTATGATTTTAGTTAATGGATCATTTTATTTCAAAAGCATAACAGCGTCCGAATTCGTAACACGGTAGTGGTCTGTGTGGTATTGCAAATCCCAAAGGATAGCCTGTCCAAATATAACGCCATTTGGCGAAATGCGCACCATCACTACAGCGTGTGCGCTGTTTAACTTATTGTTTACTGTTTCACAAGACGGTCTACGGTTGTGAACAAAACTTTCGCCCCAGACGGGACTCGAACCCGCACCTCTCGCTTTCCGGGCAAGTGCGCTACCAGTTACGCTACCGGGGCACCATTTCATCCCAACTCAGCTTTTCATGGTATACGTACCATAGCTTTCAGCACTGTCCCGTCTGGGGCGAAAGTTTTGTTCACAACCCAGCATTCTTGTGAAACATTCGCAAGGCGAACTGCGGCCAAAAACAGCAGTTAACAAACAAAAACAAGTCAAAATTATCGTTTACTGTTTATCTCATCTGTTCTTATCACAGCGTTATAATAAGAATATGTAGCCTTTTTTCAGAATAAAAAACTGATTCGAAAACGACGTTCTAGCAGAGACGCAAAAATTCTATTGATAATTCTGTCTTCAATGTGATGAAGAAGCGGATACTTTTTTGATCGCTTTCTTTTCTGCTCAGCAGTGGTTTTCTACCGAGTTCGAGTTATGGTGGGAAAAACCTGTACAACAGCAAAAGCACTATTAAACAGTAATAGCACTTAAACAACTTGTGAATAGAGCACACCCCATCCTGCGCTTAAGCCTCCCTTCGAGCAGATTTATCGATGGGATTTTAGTGTGTATGCAAAGCCAGTGAGGCAGATCTCGGGGTTTTATGGTCAGAATAAGACTTGGAATGAAGTATATTTTTGAGGAAACATGTCGCTTCTCAGAGCCTACGTATCGATGACGTCGTCAAGGAGTGATCGGTCACGAGCCATTGCGTGTGTGAGCGGCGGAATCGCTATTGGCACCCTAGTTGGACCAGGTTAGAAATGCTCTTAGCGGAAGACGATGTTTTGTTAAAAGTTTTATTTTTGGCGGCGGAATGACTAGCCCGGAAAGTCCCAGTGTAAGGCTCGAGTAGAACAAAATTCTGTCCAAAACACAGCCTTTGCGTGATAATTTTGAGTCATCTATCTTCCTAGAAATATCATCTTCCTGGGAATAGTCACTCTCCTCATTGTACTGGAAAATTGCAACGAAAGAACTTGAAGGACACATTCAGCGACTATTCGAATGGTGCAAACCCCACTACTTGTCAGATAGACCCCATCGCAAAATGTGCTTTTCTCAAGGCTTATACATTCGTAACAGGGTCTTCTAT